AAAAAGGAGACTAGAGAAGGAGAGACAGTAGAGAGGCAAAGTTCTGCAAGGGGACTCTCTTTCCAATGACCACTTAAAATACTAATGAAGTGCCACTGATGCAAACAGCCAGCTTAATGGAAAAGACCCTGATGCTGGGAAAGATCAAGGGCAGGAGGAGAAGGGGGCAACAGAAGATGAGATATTTGGATAGCATCAGTGATTCAATGGACATGAATTTGATCAAACTCCGGGAGATAGTGAAGGACAGGGAAATCTGGTGTGCTGCAGTCCATGGGGTTGCAAAGAGTCAGACAGGACTTAATGAACAACAACAACTGAAATTTCAATTTGGGTTGACTTCTTACAGGAGCCAGAAAAATCATAGATTTTTATTAATGTGATGTAAAGGAGGAATTAGATTCATGGATAGAGGAGTTGAGGCATACACAACCAAAAACTGTAAACATCCAATGAACCAGTAAAAATATTCCAGGTAATTCTATGGCTTTAAAAAAAAAAGTGAAGCTTTGAAAAACAAAAGTTGACTTCCACTTCTATATGAAAAGTAAAAAATCACAAGAAAATGCTGTCATCACTCTGAGAAGAACAACAAGCTGGATGACCTACAGATCATAAATTTCAAGCCAATTACAGAGCCAAAGATGAACACAAAAAAACCCAGGGAGCTAAGATTCACAAAATAATGCAGCCCTCCTAAGAGAGAAGAGACCCATGATGGTTTCATCACTACAGAATAGTATAGGGAAGAAGGAAGCCACCATAGACACGTGCAAGAAGAAAGCAGCTAAAATTTCAATGAAGTTGTAAAGATCAAAACTGGATAGAAATGATGGTTTAGAATCCATAGGATCCCTAGAAATAAAGATTCTGAAGCCACTCACTAACTCATTTCCATTGGCTTTCATTAAGTGCTCATGCAGAATATCAGGGATAAGGGCAAGAGAGCTGCAAAAGTCTTCTTGAAATGCACAATAGTGGAATCTTCTGAAGCCTAGTTAGCAAAATAACTGAGACAAACCCTCCAGGAATTCAGACATCAAGCCACACTGTAAGGATGTTTCTAATCCTGCCTTTCAATCATTTGAAGACTGTAATAAACTGAATCTAATGAAATTAACAACCAAGCCCTGATTTAGCCTAAATGCAACCTAGATTGACTCAACCCCACAAACCAGAAGCCAGATAGAAAAAGGATATCTTGTTCCTGAAGTAAATGTTATTGACTCCAGCTTCCACTGTATTTTTGCAAACCACCATGTCTCAGATGGTAAAGAAACTGCCTACAGTGCAGGAGATCTGAGTTCAATCCCCAGATGGGGAAGTTACCCTGAAGAAGGAAATATCTATCCACTCCAGTATTCTTGCTTGGAGAATTCCATGGACAGAGGAGCCTGGTGGGATAAAGTCCATGGGTCACAAAGAGTCAGACACAACTGAACAACTAACTACTATATTTTATCCGTAATGCCTGATATTCGATCAAAAACTCTAAGATACAATGTCAAAACTATAAAAGACAAGAAAATACTCAGGAACTTTCACAGATTAGAGAAGACTGGGAAACATGACAATGTGTGTGTGTGTGTGTGTGTGTGTGTGCGTGCGCAGCAAGCATTAACACAACATTGAAATGAGGCATGCTTCAATACAAGAAACACACATTGCATACAACAACAAAGACAGGTTAAAAGTGAGGATGGTAAAAAGATACACAATGAAATTGCAATCAAAAGAAAGTTGAAGCAGAGTTGACACAAGTAAGTACTCAATAAATGTTAGCCACTAGTAACAGCACTTATGGTGGGATTTGCAGTCGTTTCAGGTAACTAGAAAAATTGCTTGTAGTCAGTATTAGACAAAGAGGAAAGCTGAGCTGTGGGTTAGACCTTCCGTCTGTCAGCAGGAATTCATGAATTTGGAAATTGGTGGCATTTGTGAGCAAAGCCACAGCAACGCCTCCTCTCTTGTCACTTAGGTAGCAGTGACATTTTTTTTTTTGATTCGTAACAAAGTATTGAAGTTTTGTTTTGTCACATACACACATACACACCTATACCTTTTAGTTTTTATTTTTTTGCTACAGTTAAAATTGTCAGAAACCAAAGGGCAATTTGGAAAAGCAGAGAGTACGTGAAGCTAGACCACTCTGGATCCCAGGTCTCCATTACTGAACTGTGTAGTTTCCCACACATTATTGAACCCATTTATTCTTTTGTAAAATGGGTCAATAATCCTTATTTCACAAGATTATTAAGATAATTAAATGAGCCAATTTTATGTGAATCCCATAATATCTGGCATAGGATATGTACTCAGTGAGTTCCTGTTCTCGCAACTTCCTATGAGATATGAGGATATTTTAGGCATATCAGGGAGAATGGTGGAAACCAAAGATTTTGTCACAGTGAAATCTGTAAGTTCATACTTTGAAAACTTTTGTCAATTCACTCATTCATTCATCCATCTTTCCTATTCATTTATCAAACAAATCTTCATCCAGAATCAACTAAGGACCAGGTATTATGAGATCACAAAATTAATGAAACTGACTTCCTTTTCTACTTTCTGTAACAAATTGTTCTTTATGGCAGCAAGTGAATAAGAAGTTATTTACAAGCAGTCAACCAAATTCCTTGTCCTTTGTCCTGCATGGTGTAAGTTTTTCATTTCTGCTCTAAATTGGCCACAAAACCTGTAAGCCTTGCTTGGGGCTGGAGCCAGACCCCAGGTTAAATCCTCTACCTTCTGAAGATGACAGAGAGCTGAGAAATGAATGTCCTAGAAATGTTTCAGCAGGTGATCTGCTGGACTCATTAGGAGAACTACCTAGTTCATTAGCTGATAATACCTGGCTCAGTGGATAAGACATCTGATTAAACAAGTAAAGCATTATTTCTTTTAAAAAATATACCCCTTTCCACTCCCTCCTCCACCTCCTATAATAGCAGAGATATTACTGCTCAGAGCACCTTTGTTCACCTCTGTTCTCCTTCCCCCTTAAGTTTGTGTGACTGTAACCTGAGGGATCGTACGCAGGTGTGTATTAATACTACATACTGTGCTGATACAGGTGGAAGTCTGGATTTGACTTTATCAGAGACTCCCTGCTGTCCAGAGTGATTCTGAACTCTGTCAAAAAAGAAAAAACTCAATTTTCTCTGTAGTCAGAACAGGGCTGTTTTTAGCTTGCTGAGATTCACAGCTCTGAAATCTTTGTTTGCAAATCAGGCCTCTTTTCAACAATGCTAGGTGTGGGGACCAAAATAGCAATTCTAGAGTCACTCGTCACCCTCTGTCTCCACTCTCTACAGAAGGTGGGAGGTGTGAGATCCCTGGAGGAAGAACTCTCGTTCCCTTGCTGATACTCTTATCACAACCAGGGACAAACAGTCCCTGGTGCCATCCATGCTCAGGTTCGTGAAATGTGCACAAACCTGAGTTTTGGATGCCTTTAAGCATCGGCGAGAACTGAGAAGGACTCAGAATCCTTCAGAGGGTTTCTTAAAACACAGATTTCTGGGTCAATGGCATCCTTGTAAATGTTTAACAACCTGCTCCATTTGGAGGAAAAGATGTGATTTACAACTGCCCATTTCTGTGGTGTAAATATCCCCCATGATAGTCAATTTCAAGCTACCTTGAAATCGGGAAGAGATGCACAATATGCTCTCCAGAGCTTATACTGGCCAGCTTCAGCACCACTAGTTGGGCCCCATCTGCTTGACTTGGCAGGTCTGAGAATTTGTACCTCCAACAAACTTCNCAAAGTATTGGAGTTTCAGCTTCAGCATCAGTCCTTCCAATGAATACTCAGGACTGATTTCCTGTAGGATTGACTGGTTGGATCTCCTTGCAGTCCAAGGGACTGTCAAGAGTCTTCCTTGCCTTTGCCCAAAGAGCCACTGAATTGAAATGAGCCAAATATACTGGCCTGCAACCATGAAAGACAGATCTCATAGTTCACATCATTGACTCAATCTTTAAGCTGTCTGCCTGTCCATATACTTATTGGTTTATTAATTTGTGCAGCAGTTATTTAAATCCCTACTATGTGCCATCACTGGTACTGTAGATTTAGTGGTAAATATAATAGGCACAATATCTGACCCATGGAGTTATAGTAGGGAAGACAAATATTAAATATCAGTTAGATTTGCAATGAGCTTCAAAGGAAAGCTCAAGTTGCTATGTGGGTGTACAATAGGGTAAGGAGGCAAAAAAGGACTATCCAAGGAAAGATGGTTAAATTGAGACCTAAGAAAATGGGTAAGAGCTTTCCATTGAGAGGAAGATGGCAATGGTGAGTGTTTGGCAGGGGATAAATGTTCCAGGGACTCAAGAGCAGAGGGAAGGGAAGGATGACCAGAGAGGAGGCTGCAGAGAGAGGCGAGTTCTGGACTTTATCCTAGGAGCAGGTGGGCAGACAATGGTAGGATCCCAGGCAGAGAAGGGTCAAATCACAGCTGGCCTAAGGAAGTGTTGCCTTTGGATGAGGTTGTTGCCTTTAGTCCCTACGCTGTGTCTGACTCTGAGCCCCCATTTGTGTGTAGTTCCTGAATCGCAGACATAGGCCGGCTCTACAAGGTTTAGGCTGGGCTTGGTCTTTGTTCTCTCTAGTGTTCACTCCTCTAGCTGTGTTACCTCTGTCCTCCAATAAAATTGTAATGTATTCAAGGTCAAGGATGCTGTCTTCATGCCTTCTGTCATCCCACTGCACCTAGGAAGGTACTGAGTACCTTCTGGGTTACTGCTACACAGCCTTGGGCACCAGAAAGAGCTCTTGATTTAATGAAAGGAGACCAGGCTTCCAGTCCATACCCACCACTTACTAGATTTGAGAACTTTGTGGTTGGGCATGTGATGTCTATGAGCTTCAGTTTTCTTATACACGAAAAAGGGAATAGCATATGCATTTTATAAAGTCTCTGTGAAAGAATTAAGTAAGATAGAGCAAGAGAAAATTCTAGAATACTGTGCGCATGTGTGATGGCATAATGATGGAGTGGTACCAGATATCTTGGGAATCTGGCATATCACAGGGGTAAGGACCCAGCCTTCACCCAACATAGCCTCCCCCTTACTTCCTGAGCAGATTTACCCAACCAACAAGCTGCCGTTGGTGGTCGCTGTCACTGCAGGTGCCAGAAGTGTCAGTTTGGGGCTGTGGCCTGGGCCTGGGAGCCCACATACTCCTGGATGTTGCTCTCACAGCTTGCATCTGCCTCTCTCTGATCTCTGCGGTGCCCTCCCATCTGCGTCTTCCCTCATACACGTGTGCCACCAGTCACCTCTGGCGTGGAAGGGGCCACTGGGGTACAGAGAAGTATTCTGCAAACTCAAGCTCATGAACCACCCACATCAACCCAGCACTTAGTAAACCTGTCCTGGCTCCGCTAAATCATAATTGTATGAACACTTAAGGCTCCCAGGCCTGCGTGGTGGATAGAAGGCCATACTTTGAATCCACCCACAGAGATGAACACACAGGCTTCAACCAACTGGACCTCAGTCTTCTTGTCTATACCTTTGATCAGGTGCTGTGCAACTAAGTCGCTTCAGTCATGTCCGACTCTGTATGGTCCCATGGACTATAGCCCACCAGGCTCCTCTGCCACTGGGATTCTCCAGGCAAGAATACTGGAGTGGGTTGCCATGCCCTTCTCTAGGGGATCTTCCTGACCCAGGGATCGAACCTGCATCTCTTCCATCTCCTGCATTGACAGGCATATTCTTTACCACTAGCACCACCTGGGAAACCCTACCTTTGATTACCGATCCTATTAATCTCTACCTCAGTTCAGGGCCGTGAGGGTTAAATAAGATAAAGCATGTGTGGTGCTTAAAACAGCCCTTGGCACTGAGGAAGCATTTGATAAATGGTTGCATTTATTATGTCACCCTGGCCTCTGAGCAGCCCTGTGTGTGGGTGGATGGGGAGCTGACGTCTAGGAAAGCAAAGTGAGTTACCAGAGGTCACACAGCTAATTAGCCCCTGGACAGGACTAATGCCAAGGAGGCACAAGTCCTAATCCGGCGCGATTTCCGCCACACCAGGCTGCCTCCTTTAAGCCCTGATCTGCCCTAACTGCTTCTCTTCCGTGTACTCTGGGTGGCATGGCAGAGCGCTACACCGCTCCCTTTCATTAGCAATTTATCAGGATGTTGCTTTGTATCTTGCAAACAGATAACCAGCCAAGCTCAGCTGACCTCTAGAAGCCCTTCAGATATAATTGAGTTTGCATTACCTGACAGGGAGCCCATCTCCTAACATTTAGGTAAACCACAGCGCCTGCACACCTGACCTCCACAACCTGCCCCGGGGCCCTAAAGCCTTTGCCTTTCTCGCTAGGCACTGCATCCCTCCCCACGCCAAACTCCCCCTTTTCAAATAGATCCCCACACTTCTGCTCAGGGATGCAACTCAGGCCAGCTGACTTCATGCTAAGCACACAAGAATACAAGCCCCAACCACTCCCCTGGCAGATCCTGGCCCTGCCTTTTTGAGGCTGGGGGAGATTTAATTTAGATAGAGATGATGTCTTGTGATATGGATGTCCCAGTCTACCCTTGAGGAACAAACAAGGCAAGAGGCTCTTGGAGCCAGACGCTGGAACACAGTGCATCATCGCCACATCATGCCAGAAGGCTGCCGTCACCGTTCTCAGTGCCTGTGAGGGTCTGTGTTATGCCCCCTGAGGGTGATCTCTGGCTCCCCTTGATCTGTCGCCCACCCACTCAGAGGTGGAGGAGGGAAGCTGGGGTTTGATTTTCATGGGTCACCATGGCCTCTTCTCGCTTCCCTAGGGATCACAGCTCTCCACCATCACCCCCTTCACACACATATCTATCTCCTCTTCCTGACTCCATCCCCCGTGATCTACACACAAGAAAAACAGGATTGAGCAAGTCGCCCCAAGGTCTCAGAGTGACTACTTGTAAAAGAAGGGTATTAATAGAGATGATTTGAAAGATTTCTTCCACCTCTAAGATGTCGTGGTGTTCTAGATTACTCATGTTAGCTTCCTAGGCACGGGGCCAGGCACAACCCTCCATCAATGTATATAGCAGCATCTTTAAGATACTCTGTGGCAGAGGTTCACAATCTTTTACCGTTCATGGCACCCTTAAAGTATTAGTTAGTCTTTTTTCACAGTGCCCATAGGTCAGAAGAAACCTATTTATTAAGTACTTAGCTACTAACTGCGAACTAAATGAATGAAAAATGTTGGTACTGCAGAGTGGCTCAAGCTCTCATGTTACAGTCTCTGATAGATGTTGAGCATCGTTGCCTTTGCCTAGAAATATAGTACTATGCCATCTCTGTGAGTTTACTCAGGTGCCCTAGGGTACCTGGGCACAGAGCTTGGGAAATGGACACTTCAGTCTTACTTGTTAAACTTTCATCTAAACTTCCTGCTCCTTGAAGCCTCTGAGAGAATCTCAGTGGGCAGCCCTCTGTACCCTAGTCACCCTGACTTGTCAGAGGACTTGGAGGAACTAATCAACTTTGCACTTCAAAACGTTTTTTAGGACAATCTGGTTTGAGGGACTAGAGCTTTCCACATCTCCGTTCATTGCCCAGATCCTAAAACATCAAACCAAAGGAGAACCTGTACTTTGGCCGTGCAGACACTGTACACAGTGTGCACACAGATAGGTTAGATCCCAAACATGCTAGCAACACGGAAAAAGGCAGGAAACGGATGTTTGGGGGTAAGTTAAACTGGTTGCTGGGGATTCCCAGGTGGCGCTAATGGTCAAGAATCTGTCTGCCAATGCTGGTTCCATCCTGGGTCGAGAAGATCCCCTAGAGAAGGGCATGGCAACCCACACCAGTATTCTTGCCTGGAGAATCCCATGGACAGAGGAGCCTGGCAGACTGCAGTCCATGGGGCTGCAGAGTCAGACACAACTGAAGAGACTTAGCACACAAGTACAAACAGGTTGCTGTGTACATGATCTGGATACTTAGGTGGGTAATCCTGCAGCCTCACATTTCATGTGTGGGATAGACAGCGTCAAGATAAAATTCGGCCTTAATGATATTTTAAAGGGCGGTGAACCTGGCTGTGTGTCTAGTGCAGCCCTAGGATTTTAAGATTCATGGATTCTACCCCCCAACAGCACCAGAATGTAATACTAGAGTGTCCCCACCAAACAGTAAAGCAGCCAGGGCTCAGAGCGGTTACACAGTGTGGGAGTAGGCAGGCCAGGACTTGAACTCAGCTTTCTGAGTGCAGGGACCCTACTTTCAGCTAACTTTAGGTGCCTCTGTGAAAGTCTGATTTTCCCCCTAAGGATACCCAATGACCTACTGCTCAGGAACACTCAGGAATTTTACCCCAGAGCACTAGAACAAACGCTTGGTCCTCAGTCCATGTTATCACAGATGTGCGGCCACTTTCTTCTCTAGCTCCAAAGCCCACACACACGTTTTTCCTTCACCAGCCATTTAACCGTCTGTTCCCTGTGAGTCTGCGCCCTTTTCAGTGGCTGCAAACTGTCTCGTCATCTTGGTCACCTCACCCATCAGCAAAACTGAAATTTATCCACTTCCTTGGCCCCCTCCTCACATGTAACTGGGAGGGAAGGAATATCAAACGTCCTTTAAACAGAAAAGTCCAAAGCTATGGAAGAACAAGAAATGGCATTTGCTTAGCATGGAAGATGGATCATTTAGAGGCCGTGACTTTAAGTTATTGGGAATCTATTAGGCTAGGCCTGTGGACATTTATTTCTCCCTGTTGCCAATGCAGGTTCTAGAAGCCCCAGTTCTATCTATAAAGCAAATGTCAGGGAAGCTGTAGCTCTCCCGTCCACGACCAGACATTAATGCAAGTAGTGATGCGCTAATGCCTTGAAATAGTTGTTGGCTTCTGTCTGCATTTTCTCCCAAATTCCCTTTATCGACAACCTAAATATATTAAGACTCTGGGGGTGAGACAAAAGAAAATCCTGGTGAGAATGAGGAGCCTGCCTCATGCGTGGTGGGAATGCTGGCTTAGCCACCACCCGGATCATCTCTAAATCTCCCTTGCAGGGATGGTCTCATTTTGCTTCAGAGCCCTATTTGGTTTTATGCTGCTGCTACTGACCTTTCTCATTTTTCCCTTCTCTGATTGAGGTATAATTCACATTTTGCTATAGTATTCTAGTTTGATGACATGTAACCACTACCACAATCAAGACAGTGAATATTTCCATAAAACCAAAATTTTTCCCCATGCCTCTTTGTAGTTAACCCCTTCCCCGCCCTAGACACACCAACCACTCTGATCTGGTTTCTGTCCTTCTAGGCTTCTCTTTGCCAGAATGTCAAGTAGTTAGAATTACACAGCATATAGCTTTTCCATTGCAACTCCTTCCTCATAGCACGATGCATTTGAGTCTCACTCATGCTGTTGCATGTCTCAGTAGTTTGCTCCTTTTCATGACGAATGACAGTCTGTAGTATAGACATATCCGAGTTTATATATTTCCCAGTTTCAAGTTTGGCTTGTTTCAAGTTTGAAGTGATTATGAATAAAGCTAAACTTCCACATACAGGTTTTTTGTTAAGTTTTCATTTATCTTAGGTCACACCTAAGAATGGGATTGCTGGATCACATGATATGTGAACATTTACTTTCAGAAAAAGTTGCAAAGCAACTCCACAATAGCTGTATCAGTCTGCATTCCTGACAGCAATGCGCTTGAGTTCTAGTTGTTCTGCATCCTCATTAGCACTTGGAATTGTCAGTCTTCACTCCTTTTTGTGTTTCAATTATTCTGTAGCTCTGTAGCAATGATCTCAGTTGTGGTTTTAATTTGCCTTTTCCTTAGTACTAATAATGTAAAGAATTTAATTGCCTGGTTGCCAACCGGGGAACCTTTTGGGAAAGGGGCCTTTTTTTTTTTAAACTCTTTTACCCATATTTTACTGGGTAGTTTGTTTTCTCATTATTGAGTTGGAAGGTTCTTCTGTATTCTGGATTTGAAGCCTTTGTGATTTGAGAATATTTTTTCTTATCCTGTGGCTTATCTTTTCATTCTTTTAACACTATTTATTGAAGAACAGAAGTTTTCATTTTTATAAGGTCCAACTTATCAACATTTTCTTTCATAGATTATGCTTTTGATATCATATCTAAGGAATCTTTGTTTAACCCAAGGTCATATAGATTTTCTCTTGTGTTTTCTCTAGAAGTTTTATAGTTTAAAATTATATATTTAAGCCTAAGGTCCATTTTAGGTTTCTTTTTTTTTCCTTTTAAATTAATTTTCTTTTAAAGCTAGAGAAGCCAAAGGCAAAAGGAGAGATTTGACCTAACCCCTGTAAAAAATTGGTCCTAGGTAGCTCCTATCATAATGTAGCAGTTAAATCTTAGGCTCTAACATTAGATGCTTTGAGTCTGAATCAGTGTTTCGAAAATATCCTAAGTTATAGCATAGGGTGATTACTTTTACTTTTTGATCTTCATTTAAATCAATTATTAATTAACAAAGCTAAGATTAGAACTAAACACATTTGAGCTCTATCATAAAGATTAATTCCAAGTGAGGAAGAAGATAAGAACTTTTAGCTGGGGAACCCATTCTAAACTATCCAGGAAAGGTGGTCAGAGTGGTTTGTCATTCAATACTAGAAAAACTAATGATGGTATGAGATCAAGACCCCGGTATGTCCCACATTTCATGTGGTCATATTTCTGCATGGGCTCTCACTGCTTTCCTTGGATCTGAGTTCATCTGGGCCGTTGGGTACCTTGAGCTCATCTTACTGCTCACACACATTTCCTCACTTAGAGGTGTCCCTGCCATATCAGCTCCCCATCTTCCCAGTCTCTCCATCTCTCTGCCCTTTATATTCAAAGAGCATCTGCCAGCTTTTGTCTGGACATTTTTCTTCCAACAAGCAAACCCACATCATTATCCAAAAAGGGAGACTTATAGACTCAGAGCTCGATATGATCAAACATATCTGTGTTTGTCAGTATGTCCCCAGACTCCAGGTAGGCCTATCCTAAAACCTCCGGGAAAATGGATAACCCACTATTTAGACATGAATGGAAATGGCTTAGTGGGTGAGGGTGGGAGCACATGGGTTTGGGACTTAGATTTGGATTCAGATCACAGTTCTCGCCCTCATTATGCCACCCTGAGTAAAGCACATAACTTTTTAGACTCAGTTTCTCAAACCCAGAGTGAGGAATATTAAAAACCTTACTTGGTTTTATGACCATTAAATGGTACAAAAACTGTATGTGAAATACCTGGCACCCTGTAGCAGTTTTCATGATTATGATGGTGAAGTTAGCTCTGCCTTCTTCACCACCGTTTCCTCAATTCACAACCCTCTCTCCTTTCTAATCAAAATGCCCCCTGCTGCTGGCCCAGCTAGTTTCTGAGGATCGCATCCAGTCAATGGCCCTCAGACTATCAAATAGGAGTTGAGAACATCCTAATGGCTTTTGAATTCTTTGCAAAGTACATGTGTGTGTATAGCGCAATCCACTTGTGAAGAACTTGTAGCAGATCAATTACTGTAAATGCCCTAAACAGCCTCAATTGATCGCCATATGTGATCTGAAGTTCTTATTAATAGAGGCTTTGTTTAAAAAAGAGAGCATGCCTAGGAAAGAGAAGGAAAACACTGCTGTCCACTTTTGCCGATATCCTGAATTATGAGGCTGCAAAACAGTCTCTGTTGGCAACTTCTCATGTCTGGCTACATGCTCCTGCCAGAGCAAGTCTCTACTTGGGTGAAAACATCACATCTCCTATTTGTTGGGATGTTTGAAGAGAATCAGCTGGGAACATCTTGTCTCAGCATTTTTTTTTTTTTCCCCTAGGCTGAAAATGCTACTTTGTATTCCTGGGTGAGGGGCTATCTCATGTATCTTAATCCTCTGTGGGGCCTGGTGACTCACCACGACTCTTTGGGGCTTAGCTTTGAATTCCCTTGACTTTGAGGTTACAAACATCAATCCTTCCACGTGGCATTCCCTTCATTTCTGGAGCACTCATGTGCATATCTAACCCCTGCGAGCACATGAGTATTCAACTGCCTGCAAGCCTTAAAAATGCTAATGTGAAGCTGGGTTAGAATTCTGCAGGCCACACTGTGACCTCAAATATTAATCAGGCCCGGGTAGCCAAGGGGAGCCCTGGCCAGTGCAGGGAGAAGGCCTTCGCTCACTCTGAAGCACTGCAAGGCGAACTAATCGAAATCAAGCCCCGATTTTGAAACATTTCACTCACCAGCAGGCTGTTCATTTTTCTCAGGTGTACGTCTTGTTTTTGATTAGACAGAAGCAGTGATCTGATCAACTTTTCGATTGAACAAGAAACAAAACAAGACACGGCCAATTCACATCATGTTTCTTGAATGGTTTTTGATAGAAATTTACTCCTCTGAATCTCCTTCTTGTTTATTCAACGTGATTCCCAAGATGTGTTTTCTGTTTCCTGCTCTTCACCTTAACCTCTCTCCCCCTACTACGCTTTCTTCCCAGGACACTTTCTTATATGCTGAGAAATTATTTAAAGATTGAACTGCAAGTTCAACACTTAAAAATTCCTTCTTACGAGCTCTGGACAATCCCTGGCCAGGAGTCTCAAAGACGACTCTCTGAAGGATACCTTCGCTGCCTTGACATGTCAGGTGGATGCCTTGAACCCGGCCAGCCAAGCCAGTCACTGACCTGGAAGCAACACTCTTCTCTGTGGGCCAGTGCAGACATAGCTTCCCATCTTCTTAATGGGCCTCATCTATCTGTTAAACCTTTCCATTATGTCAAGCTCTGTGCTAAGGACTTTTAATCCTGACAGTGCATTTGATTTCAGTTGGTCCTGGCAACTGTATATGACTTTGGTGATATTGCTACTTCCAATTTAGGGATGAAGATGATCCAGTTAGAAAGAAGTAGAATCAGAATTTTAATCCAGGTCTTAGGACTCCAAAGCTTACCTCTTGACTCTGATTCTTTGCTGTTCAGTCACTCAGTCGTGTCTGACTCTGTGAGATACCATGGACTGCAACATGCCATGCTTCCCTGTCCTTCACCATTTCCTGGAGTTTGCTCAAACTCATGTCCATTGAGTCGGTGACGCCATCCAACCATCTCATCCTCTGCTGTCCCCTTCTCCTGCCTTCCCAGCATCAGGATCTTTTCCAATGAGTTGGCTCTTCACATCTAATCCTCCTCTGATTCTTGCTACCTTTAAATTAGCATCCAATTTCCTTCCAGGAAAATAGGGTTTATATCCAAGACAACACTCCCTTCCCTGGGGACAGAGATGAACTTACAGGCCAATTGGAGCAAAACGTTAGATTAACAAATGAAAAACCCGAAGCGCTGAGGGCCTCTGTGAGTTCCCCGAGGTAACCACTGTTGCGTGGGCTAAGCTGAGACTTTGGTCTATGCCTTGCTGATTCTAAATATTGCGTCACCATTCATGCACCATGCTGCATGCCCCGTCCAGTCCAGGGAATAAGACTCATCTCTCCACCACTTCAGCAACTTGTAATGGTTTATTTTGCTCTTGGCATCCTGATTTGAGACAATTTTATCAGGAATACAGAGAAGGAAAAACATCAACCATAAACAAACAAAGTACCCACAACTGACATGCAAAATATAAATAACTCTCAGGTTTTAGATTTCTGTTAAACATACCTACTGCAATTTTTGGAAAAGCCTTTCACATTTCATCTAGAGTGACCTGGTCTCATCACAAAACATGATTGGAGTAACCACAGGAAAAAAAAAATAGTATTTCAGGCCCTAGACATCATTGCTGTTATTTGAGGGTAAGGAGAGAAAGTAGGAGTGAACTATATTTGATGGGGATATTTCCATCTCTTTAGCAACATATTTTTTTTTTAGAACAAACTCTCTGTTAATGCAATAAATTTATGGACCAATAAATGAAATAAGATTTCAGCTTGGATCTTTCTAATTTTTGTCCCTATAACCAACTAATGATTTGTCTTTCCACAGAATCTATCTTCCAAGGGCACCTACACATCAAAAGCCCTAGAAGAAAAAGAAACATTTCTTGACATTAAATCAAGTTTTCATTCTGGAGAAAGCTCTCTAAGAAGAAAAAGGAGCAGAATGGAGAAGCTGGCTTAGTACCCCAAATCCCCTCTATGCAATTCTCACCTGAATTTGCAAGGAAATGGACTGAATCCATGCCACAAATTTAGTGATAGAATTAGATTGGCAAGGATTTCATAACTAGAAGGTCAGCCTCCACCTCAGCTAAGCTGTGGGAAATCTCCGGCCAGTACAATATATGTTTGTGTATTCATTCAACAAATGTCAAGCAATCATCAATCAGGTGTTGGGCATGTAAAAGTAAACAAAACTGATGAAATACCGCCCTAAACACTGCCCTCTTGGCTACATAAATAAAGTGAGAAAGGTAACAGGTTAGGTGATGATAAGCACCATGATGACATGAAAGTGGTAAAGCAAGCCCAGGGTGTAGTCAGTAGATGAAAAGCTGCTCACTGACGGGGACCCAGTCCAGCATCTGTCCCGCTGCTCACCGACGGGGACCCAGTCGAGCATCTGTCCCGCTGCTCACCGACGGGGACCCAGTCGAGCATCTGTCCCGCTGCTCACCGACGGGGACCCAGTCCGGCATCTGTCCCGCTGCTCACCGACGGGGACCCAGTCCAGCATCTGTCCCGCTGCTCACCGACGGGGACCCAGTCCAGCATCTGTCCCGCTGCTCACCGGCGGGGACCCAGTCCAGCGTCTGTCCCGCTGCTCACCGACGGGGACCCAGTCCAGCATCTCTCCCCCTGCCTGTGCTCCTCCTTGTTGGCTGCCACCTTCTCCAGAAAGCTCCTGGCCTCGGTCACTTCACCTCAGCGCAGAGATTCCCATCTCTAAGAGGAGGTTGCTGAGCTCACGTGTGTCCATACTCCTGGCTCCATGTGTCCAACTGCTCCCCGCTTCCCTCCTTCCTCCTGGGGTCCACTGCATTCTTCTTGCTTCTACTATCTCTCACTCTGTTTAACCCCTGAGCTCTCTTACCTGGTCCTACATATGAGTCTTTCTGGTTCCCATCTGTCCTGGTTTGTCTTCTATTTCCTCCCCTAAGCCTACCCTTTGAACCTGATGGTCCCCAAGGTCACCAGAGAAAGGTTTCATTTTCTTCTGTTCTTTTCCACACCCCAGTGATATAACTCCAGCAGAAGTCTATGATAATGCCTGAACAAAGCTTGCTCTAGAATCCACCTCCAGGATTTAAATGGAAAGGAAAGGACTATTTGTAAATATCTTAAAGCAAAGAAATAGCCATTTCCTATGTGTACCCATGTATGTGGCCCTTTAATTAAGTCATCATCTGAAAGAGCACACACCTGCCTTGGGTGTTGCCTCCACGATGCTTTGCTGCCCCACGAGCTGAAATCTGTCCACAGAGCACTGCTCCCATGGAGATGGGGCTGCCCTGCTTTTTCAGCCATAGGCCTCATGTTCTTTGAGTTTCTCTAAGTCCTTTTCTTCAACAATATCTTGTCTTAGCCAGGGTGCTTGGGTTAATTATACCTTCTTACATTTAAAAGAATTTCCTTTCTAAATCCACTTTAAATATGTGTCCTTTAAAGTCAACATGATGCTCTCCCCATCTGGAGATGTCACGTAAACTAGATGTCTAAATGGCTTTTCAGATGCAGTAATTACTTTACAGCCATCTCTGCCCCAGCTGTCTCATTCATTCTCTCATCTGAGCCACGGCTGTGGCTGCTTGCTGATACCTCTGCCCTACAACCAAGCTATGCGTGCCTCTTTTGGCTGTGGAATTTCCCTTTTTACACAACTCCCGGTATCCACAGACTTTCAAGGCATTGGGTTTCGATCATTTCTAGTGAATTTCCAAAATCTACCCTACTTCTCCAGGTGAGGAAAGCTATCCTGTGACAGTTATTGTTGAAACTTAATAATTCATTCTGTAAGCTTCAAATTTGTTCATTTTTATTCCTTTTCTTTTAATAAATACATTTTACATGGAAGTTAAATTGAAGAACCCTGAGTTATACAGTCAGTTCTGAATACACATGCATTCAACTCCCACCTTCATTTTAAGAGTAAGTTTATAACAGCCTGAGTGCTTGCTCTGGCTTCTGCACAAACCGTATCTCCAACCTCTGTGGTACTACAGAGCCTCATGTTTAAACATCATATTTGAAGTAAACAAGGATAGCACAATGACTGAGAAAGCAAAGAAAGAGAACTTGAGTGATTGCAGTGTTGTCATTCTATGTGACCATTTGGATTATTTGTTTGTGTTTAATATTTAAAACAATGAAGCAGCATAAACTGTGAGGTTTAATATTTTTGCTGGTAAGTGCAAATCTTACTTCACACATGAAATGTCTTACTGAATTTAAGCAATATCTCTAAGATTGAAATTTATTCATCTTAATTCTTAATTGTTTTAAAACAAAAATATGAATTAAGAAAAGTAGGTTTTATTAAAATTAACTTATTGGACAGTCATGTATAATAAATATTATTACATCAGACAATCTTCAAAGGATCAAAGATCAAACTATCAGGCAAGTGTAGAAGTGTAGAATAAATAGTTGTACCTACCCACTTTATCCAGAAGGAACATGGCAGAAAAAAGTAATGATAGTATTCATCTATATTAATAATTACTCTGAATTTGGGAAAAAATTTGAAGTGGAGAATCAATGTAAAGAGACAGTGACCCAAGGAAGCTCACGTGTGCCAGTCACTCAGCTGTGACCGACTCTGTGCAACCCCGTGGACCGCAGCCCACCAGGCTCCTCTGTCCATGAGATTTTCCAGGCAAGAGTACTGGAGCGGGGTGCCGTTTTCTTCTCCAAAAGAAGCTCAACAGAGAACTAAAAAAAATTAAAAAAAAAAATTAAAAAAAACCCATGAGAGACAGTGAATCTGCATCTACATCTATTTTGAAACATGTGGTGCCTTTAACATCACACAAAGCTCCAGCTCATGGCTGTCACTGGAAATAACTTTGATATATACAGCAGGGGCTGTAAAATATTATATGTTCTAGGTGTCAAATACACCAGATACACCATAGAATCACAGTTGCTCAAATTTTCATTTTCCTAATTAATGTGAAACTGAGCATATTTTCACATCTATTAGTTATTCACGTTTCTTCTTTTATGAAATGCCTGTTAAATCCTGTGCCTATTTTTCTATAGTTTAAATACCAATTTATACAAATTCTTTACATTTTCATAATATCAATTCTTTCATCCTTAAGCATCTAACTCTAACCCCAATTGTCTGGGTCATATGCCACCGTTTTGGATCATATACCACCATTGTAGGTGCTTCTGTGAGGCTATTTCCTTATTGATAATTTTTAAATTTATTGCATTGTGGAATTAAAGTCTGTGACAGCAATTACTTGATATCAATTTTTTAAAATTTCTTCATGAATTGCTTTTTAAATTTTTATTTAGTGAACTTATTTTTCTTAGAGTCTATTCTTTTTTTCATTAATAATATTACACTAGGACTTCCAACCCAGATGAAGTAACATTTACTAGATTTACCTCCCTTTCTAAAAAACAAACAAAAGAAGCAATAATTTTCGAGTCAGTAGACAGCAGGTAATGTAGAATAGTGCTCCATGATAAATGGGGAAGAAAATGAAGTGAGAAATCAGTCTAGCTTACTGACTTCAGAGTTTTCAGGGTGCAGTGCAAGAGAAAAAACAAACAAACAAAACAAAAAAAACCACTCAGGTGGAGTTTGGCAGACTCTGTAAGGTAAAGAAACAGAGTCACAAATCAGAGAGATAAGGCAGCTAGAATTCACAAGATAGAGCTCTCACGAGAAGGGACATGGAAAAAGAGAATTCCACCAATCTTAGCGGCTTCCTCTTGACTATTCAACTGAATACTGATAAACACAGGCATGGGAGAAAACTATCCGAGACTTGGAAAAGTTACATCCAGAAAGAATCTGGAAGAACAGTGACCAAAATTCACATTAGACAGAGAATAGTTCCTTTTCCCATCAGGCAGATTAGAAGAATGTATACTTGCAAGATACCTTGTAAGGTAAATTGCTGTTCTTTGCTGTTTTTGAAAGCTGGCTTAGCTATTTTGGAAACTCCATTCACATAAATTTCCAGCTATATTATATAGAATTCTTTTAAAATGCAGCTGGAATTTTCATTGTCATTTAATTGGATTTGTAAATTAAGTTAGAATCAGAATACTTATAATATTTCATCATGCCACATTCAAGAATCTGAAAGATTTCTGCATTTTGGGGATCTTTCTTTTTGTCCTTTAATATAGTTTTATTTTCCACATCAAAAGTTTATGAACTCCTTAATTCTTTGATACTTCATTGCTTTGTCTCTCTTGTGAATGGAATTTTATTTTTATTTATTTTTTGGAATTTTATTTTTAATATTTACCGTGATATTTTATCCAATGATCTTGCATTATAAACAACCTAAATACAAATTTTTGTCAGTTACTTTTGTGCATTTTCTGCCTAGACAATCAGCATGTCTGTGAGTAATGACAATTTACCCCTTCCTTTCTAATTCTGTAAGTCCTATTTTTCTTTTCATGTGGAATCACCAGGACCATTAATAATAGCAGTCATTTAAGAATACCACATTTCAAAGGAAATATGTTCTTTAAAAGTTCTCCATTAAATGATAATGTTTGCTCACTATAGTTTGGTCAGGTTAAGAAGTTCCCTTTCATCCCTAGTTTGCTAGAGCTTTTATTATATATGTGGATAATTTTCTATATTAGATGAGATAATCAGCATTTTTAAAAATTTTAAATTTATATTTATGTTGATTTATAATGTTGTCTTAGTTCCTAGTGTTCAGCAGAGTGATTCAATTTTTCTATATATCTCTCTCTATATATGTATATATTAGTTATATGTTAATTACTCAGTCATGTCTGACTCTTTGCAATCCCTTGGACTGTAGACTGCCAGTCTCCCCAGTCCATAGAATTCTCCAGGCAGGAATACTGGAGTGGGTAGCCATTACCTTTTATATTCTTTTTATATCCTTTTTCACTATGGTCTTTAACAGGATATTGAATATAGCTCTCTGCTCTATATAGTAGGGCCTTCTAGTTTACCCATTCTATATATTAATATAATACTTTACATCTGTTAATCCCAAACTCCCAATCCAGCCCTCCCCACCCATAG